GTTTTATGTAGAGTAAGGGAAGAAAGCTGTGCTTGGAAAAGTCTCCCAAAGCCTTAACTGCTGTAGTTATTTGATAGACAATTTGAAAGTTGGGAGACGTGAAATAAGGTGCCTCCTTATCTTTTTGCCACTCACTTTTGCTTCAATAACATGGTTAGTTACTCCAGAACTTGCTATTTCTGAAGTCACTTTGGAAAAGAAGAAAAGCAAAGAATGAACTTACAGAAGGATTTGTAATTCTTATAGGAGCATACTTTATCCTTTTTTGGCCTAGACAGACTTCTGAGTTTTACTGGTCCATTAAGCTAGTACAAAGTTTTGTTGTTGATCTTGCACTGTATTGGAAAATGAAAATATTATTTGATAGGGTTTTTTGACTTGGCTGCAAACTTCTAATACTCAGAAACTAGGAACGTTCTGTTCTGCTCTGAATCTAAACCCTACATTTTTACTGTAATTGACCTAATGTACTGCTCTTTCTAGCTCGAGTCATAGATGTGTCCAATGGAAAGATAGATGTGGCAGAAAGCTGCTTGGAAGAAACGGGTGGCCTGGGAGTGGATATCGTCATAGATGCTGGAGGTATGGAACTGATGAAAATCTGGTCTTCGGAGCATCAGTAGGGGGTTGTGTTTTGGTTGTTTGGGTTTTATTTTTTAAATTATATCCAAGCAGTATAGGTGGAGGTTGCATCGCCTCGAATGATTAAATTTAGTTGTTTGTTCTCAGGCAATTTCATGTATGGATCTTTACTCAGTAGATCTCCCTTAAGGAAGATCTCTTTAAGATCTCCTCATATCACCCTCTAGTGGAAGCATCTAATACTGCTAGTCATCTGCTAAATTTGTTTGAAATTTTCCTCTATTTAAAACCGAAAAGAAAAAAATGTGTTTAAAGACTAGGGCTGTGACATTATTTACCTTATTTTAACACAAAAATTATGCCATAGTTGCCAGTACTGTCAACCTGTATTCTAAAATAATCATAATAGTTGAAAAGTCTGAAGTCAGTATTTTTAGCTGAAATAATTGAAGAACTTCTTAAAGTTCCACTGAAATGCATTAAAAGAAATATATATTAAATTTCCTAGATCTTCTACTTTCTCAGATGTTGTCATGTGACCAACAGCTTAATTTAATTGTAGTGCTGTTCCTGCCAGCCATCTTTCATTGTGTGTATTGATACGTGTCTATTGCAACTCGTTTGTATCTGAAGACATAGGACTGTAGAGACTCCCAAGAGAGGTGGCTTTTTGTACGGGAAAAGATGGACATTTCTTTTTGAACAGAATTCTGAGCTTGAATGGATTTGTTCTCTTCCCCCTTCCCCCTCCCCGTCCCTAGTGAAATTATATAGTGCTGAAGATGAATCAGCTTCAAAATCACAGTTGCTGCCTCACAAGCATGATATCATTACTCTTCTTGGTGTTGGGGGACACTGGATAACAACAGAAAAAAACCTGCAGGTAAAGATCCTGTGTCAGTAAGTTAGTTTGTACCACAGTATAGATATGGGTGTGTCTGTGAGCTTCCGTCACGGCTGAATGGTTCCCCACTGTAAAATAGCATCAGTTTTCAGTTAAGAAGACTTTCACATCCAGAATGTGGGAAATATACAGCATTAATAAAAACATATTTTTATTTTCCTTTGGGCAATTCTGGGGCTGTCTTCTCTAAGATGATATTAAGTTGTTTTAATAGCTTGGCTATACTGACAAATTTTAAAGGACTGATTTTGTTTGGCTCAGGGTATTAAACTGTTTGAGAAGACAGAAAAGTGTCATTTAAAGCTGTGAATGTTACAAGTTTGCTAAGTTTTAAGAATGGGCAAGGGTGGGGTTTGGTTTGGTTTTTTAAGCCATCAATATAAAATAACCATTTAACCTTTATTTATTTTTTTCTAGGAAAATATAACTAAATATAATTTTTCTTCATTTTGTTTAAGCTGGATCCTCCAGATAGCCACTCCTTGTTTCTTAAAGGAGCCACAGTCTCCTTTCTGAATGATGAGATATGGAACTTGTCCAATGTACAGCAAGGGAAGTACCTCTATATCCTTTTGATGGCCATTTTGAATACCGACTGCTAACATGAGTGGACAGAAATATACCCAAGGAAACAACAAAGAGATTCTGTTCTAGTCAGTCATGCAACTGACAGGCTTAAAGGTCAGCACAGCTAAGCATACAGTGGAACTAAAATATAACTCATGTTTTGAGCTAATCCCTGCATTCCTTCTAAATAAATGTCTCAACATCCTTCATTAAAAGCAGTGCTGAAATAGAAAACACACATACTGGAGAAAATGCAATATTTTGGTTCAAGATTGAACCAATTAATTGAAGATCTGATTCTGTAAGTTCTTGTATTATGCATATGATACTTTGGAAAAAAAAATATTCTTTTGGGCAGTAGATGCATGATCTGTAAATCTTTAGCAGTCAGTTTAAATGTAAAATCTAAAATATTTTGGCTTCATAACCTTTTTCTCATTTGCAATGCTATGTACATTAAAATGTATTGAGCGAAGATGTGTGTGTGGGAAGAGGAAGGCCGCCTCCATTGGCATTACCTGCGTTTGGTCTTAAGCAGCTGGACCCTGAGCTTTCTACTAGTGTGACAGTTTTCAGTGGATCACTTCAAGCAGGGGAAGGTTTGTCTGTTTATGGCTTTAAGGGCCCTCCCTGTTCTCTACTGCACTGCAGATTATGAGATCTGCTGAATCACTTTTGCAGTTTAGCAGAACAGCAGAGGCAGGTGAGGATTAAGTCATTATATTTGTGAAACGACTAACTGTACTGCAAGGAAGTCCTCCCCTCCTCCACTAAACTGCAAAGTAGATTAGGCAAGGTCAGGCACACTAAGGAAATATTTATGGGATGCAGGTTATCGTGAATCGTTTTATGATTTAGTATTTTGGTTGAATGCTAACTGAGTAAATAACCACATACAAAAAAGTAAGCTGACTAAACAGTAAGATTTCTTCTGTTACCTCCTGGGGTATCTTTAATAACAACAGCACATTTTGTCACAACAGGCTTTGAAGTTGAAAGGAAAAATCTGTGCTTTTTTTTAAGGTGTATATTTTATGAAATTCTTGAGCATATGGCATTAATGCCATCTGAAGAATTGGTGAGGTGATTGCTTTTCAAAATGGCTTGAGCTTCAAATATTAACTAGATTGCTCTTAAAATGAAGGAACCTTTTTTTTTAATTTCATATAAAGACTAAATACAGCATCATCTGTTACACTGTCATGAATGTTAGCCATTAGCTCAAAAATCCCTTACAGTGGTGCTCCAAGAATTTACAGACTCTACGTTCCTAGCTTTATTTTGATTTTTACCTCAGATGTGTATATGAAAGGTAGGAATAGTTAATGGGTACCAAAGTCTGTCACGTTCATTCTGCACCAAAAAAAATGCAATTTCCATTCTGATTGATTAATCTCGTAATAGTGCAGACAGCGTTTGTCAATCTTCTTGCTTTATTTTTCAAAATTCTATTCTGCATGTTTTATTTCTGCATACTGTTTCAGGAAAGGAGGTTTCTGATATATAAACAAGTGCATATATCTGATCTAAAGATTGGAACAAAGGTTAATTTTCATTTTATTGTATCAATACAGGGTGCTTGCCAACAAATATGATTACAGAAAGGTTTATCTGTAGGTATGTTGTTACCTTGACAGTCCTCTTAGATACCCATCTTAGAAGATATAATGGAGAAATTATCAAGTAACATTTTCAGGTGAGAGATGTGATTATTTTTTTTTCTTTTTTTTTTGTTTCAGCATTAGAAGTAGAAAATCTGCCTGGAATGTACTGCAAATCTGTATTGGGATGCTTGGGAAAAGATGCCTCACAGATTATATGGAACAGTTTATAGACTATTTCTGCTTGTAGTATAGCAGGTTAAGCACAAGAAAATCTGGTAAATCCCACGATTTTCCTGTGGCATATACTATGTCAAAATTTAACAGAGGCAGGAAGAGCATGTATCTGGCTGCTCAACAGCGTGTCTGATTGATTGAGAAATAGTGTTGGCTGTAAAAGACAATATGTCTGTATAATACTCCTCTGAGAAGAGTGACAGGTGACAGCTTCACTAGATATGAAGACTACCATAATGAGGTGGGAATGGAAGATCTTTTCTATTAATGCCTCACCACCACTGCCTTTTTTTTTTTTTCTTCTTCTTCTTCCCTGTAAGGAGGATATAGTTTAATTAACTTTGGTTTCCTGTTTGCTTTAGGGCTCTTCCCTCCTTCTGTGAATCCAAGCAAAGCTATAAAACTTTTATTTTGTTTAAGGAGCAACATTTACATAGTGAAAGTAAAGTCTATAGCAGTAGTTCTGCAATATTTCTGTTGATCTGAGCATGCTCACCAGACATTTCTGATATATCGTTCCATTTTAGGCCCCAGCTGGATGAACCGATCCCATTGTATGAAGCCAAAGTTTCTATGGAAATAGTTCAGAAGAATCAAGCAAGAAAAAGACAAGTCATCCAGTTCTGACACCCAATTTCCTGATTTCTAAGGCTGTGGAAGATAAAGAAATGTAATGTATTTGAGAAGTAAATTAGTGTACACTTTCAAATAATTCTGTAACCAGAATTTAAACATCTTTTGTACCTCAGCACAAATGGTCTGTGAAGGTCCTGTGACTTCATGGCTTTTTTGGATTCAGTTGAGCAGAATGTTCCCATCAGCAACTTCTCAAGAGGCAGTCTTGACACACAAATCTTGTCTGCCCTGTCCCAATTACAAATATCAGTAACACCTACAGGCAAACTCAGTTGCTGTTGTTTTTCAACCATAAGAAATTAAAGGGGGAAAAAAATATCTTATGTTTTTATTATTCCTTCCTTCTCCAGCACTTACAAATAGGCACCTTTATATTTACCTTTTGCTTTTGACTGCATTAAGACTGAGCACTCTCAGCAGTACGCTTAGTCTTTAATCCACATTGATAATTAATTGAAATCAGAATTGGCAAGGATGCTAGAGGGGAAGGATACGACACGGACAGTAAGAGTTCCCCCCACAACTGCTTTTCTTAAGTTTGGCAACCAGACAGTAAACCTAGTAAATCTAAATCATGTCATTCAGATGTTTGAAGCACTTGATGTATCTTGTTACTGTAATGTTATCTTTGATACCTTTCCAGGAAGATGCTCCTGTGCTGTGAGCTTTCACTTCTCCTCTTTTAACCTCAGTCCTATGCCTAGCAGAGCTCATATCTGTTTATCCAACATCCTCCATTACTGTGCAGTTGGGAAGGAACTGCTGGTTTTCTTTCTTCAAAGCATGTGTCTTCCTACTTGCTCGTATTTGAGAGCAAAAATATTTTTTCTGTTCAGCTGTGCTGTTCATTTTCACCCTGTGGATGGCTGAAACAGTGGACGCTAGCACTTTAAACCAGTGTTAAGAAGTTGGAACATTTGAGTGAAAATAGATTATCTAGAACCATGATTAATCTATCTGCTGTCATTCAATGGCCTTGTAGTCGCTTCTTGATAAATGATGCGAGGGAAGCATATAAAAGCATGAGAACATCTTATTTTAGTACAAGTGTGATGTAATGCAGCCTTGAAAGTAAGCGATGCTTTCACGCACAAGCGTACACAAACAAGGCTAAAGCATGTGAGTGCTCTGTTACTTTGGCATTTATTCTGGAGCTTTGTACCCAATTGCTTATTTTTTCCTGAAGTTGTTTGTTTTAGCTTAAAAGTTTGCAAAACAAAGTAGATCAGAGCAAACAAGCTAAAAAATAAGGTTTAAGAAAACAGGAACAACCACTGATGAAATGGCAGAAGAAACATCTTTATAGTTTTTATTTTACTGGATCTTTTGTAGTTAGGAGCACCATATCTACTGACATCTATAAATGCTTAGTGTACAGTGGACCAAGCATAGCAATTGCTGCAGCAGGCATAGCCTTGCAGCGGGATCAGGCTGTGGAGGAAATCTCTGTACTTTGTGTGTCAGGCTGCCTTACGAGGGCAGAGATGCCTCAGCATTTTCTAATGCTCTTTAGTAATGCTGCCTTTAGATTTACGTGTGCTTCAACAGGAGGGTTCACAGGCAGATGGTGGCGTGTGGGTGATCCAACCGTAACCCTGTTCTGGTGTCTCCACGGATGATTTTTGTCCTGGTGCAACCACTTGGTGATTTCCTTGATCCCTGCCTGGAGAAATCTATTCCAGCTGGTTTCAGAATAGATTCAGAAATCCATTTATGTTTTCGGCAGTAATGCTTATTAAAAAAAAAAAAAAACAAACTTTTTTTTTTATAACATTTACTAGTTTAGGTGGGCTGTTGGATCTCCTTTTCCTGCAGAATTCCAGAAGCAATCTCACTGAACGCGCTCCAGAGTTTCCCCTCACGCATTTTGAGGAGGGAGGAGCATTTTCAGACAGGTGCGCGCGAGCTCGCAGGCAGCTTCCTCCAGAACGATTTATTGGCAGAAGAATGTGTAGTTTTCTACATTTCTTCTAATGTGTAGTTTTTAAACAGTTATGGCCGGAGGAGCCAGGAGCGGGCTGGCTCCGAGAGCTGGCAGGCATTCCCTCAGGTTCCCGCCGCCCTCCGGGGGCCGGGGGAAATGGCGGCGGCAGTCGCCTCCCCTCCTTCAGCGCCGCCCAGAGGCGGAGCTCGCCCCTCTTCGCGCCAAGCCGGGACAGCCGCTCCCGCCTGGCCATGGCCGCCTCCGCCGTGCCCGGTTACTCGCCCGGCTTCAAGAAGCCGCCGGCGACTCTGCGGCTGAAGCGAAAACGGCTGCGGAGGAGCGAACCCGCCGCCGCCGCTCCCTTGCCCTGCGGCGCGGCCCCGCCGGCCCCC